CCAGTTCTGGACACCACACTATAGGAAGGATGTTAAGGCATTGGAAAGGGTGCAGAGGAGATTTACAAGAATGGTACCAGGAATGAGGGACCTTGATTATGAGGAAAGGCTAGAGAGGCTAAGATTATTCTCATTGGAGCAGAGAAGGTTACGAGGAGACCTAATAGAGGTCTTCAAAATCATGAGGGGATTTGATAGGTTAGAAAGGGAAAAATTGTTTCCACTGATGGATGTGTCGGTGACTCAAGGCCACAGATTTAAAATAGTTTCTAAAAGAAGCAGAGGGGAGGTGAGAAGAAATTTTTTCACGCAGCGAGTTGTTCAAATCTGGAATGCATTGCCTGAAAGGGTGGTGGAGGCAGATTCGATAACTACTTTTAAAAACGCGGTGGATGGGTATTTGAGGAGGACGGGTTTGCAGGGTTATGGGGAGAGGGCTGGGAAGTGGGATTGACATTGCATTGCTTTTTACAAAGAGCCGGCACAGACTCGATGGGCCGAATGGCCTCTTTTTGTGCTGTACGATTCTATGATTCTATGATCTTTTAAAGGAATTACTTAATAATCTTTTTTTGGTGAACCTGACCCATATGGAAACCCATCACCATGCTGAATGGTGATAAAGTCTGCCATCCCAAGTTTCACTGACAAGCCAGATTGGCTGGTCCGTCATCAGCTCTTAGAGTATTCCAGACCCACTTGGATTAGAAATTAGACTACTAGGAATTAGACTATCAGGACCACCACAGAGGGTTAAACTCAATTCCAACATTCCTCAATAAACAAACTTGAAGTATGTTACATTAACCCATGGGAACGCCACTCCAACACAGTGCATTCCCAAAGCAGAGATGTTGTATATCAGTGACATATTTCTGGATATCGGAAGATGTCTGGATGCCTTATTAAGGATTCCCATTGGAAATCATCACTTACTAGATCCAATTATCTGAAGCCAGGGTTATTTTTAAGAACTGGGGAAAAGGGTTTTCCGAAATAAGAATTTAATTAAGAAGGTTTCCGCAAAATATTATATTTTGCGTTTTGCCCACAAAATACACAGTTAATTCACTTTACAGTATAGCCCTTTGAGATGTCTTAATGACATGAAAAGGTGCTATATCAAATGCAAGATTATTATTATTTAAAGACCAAATTCCAGAAGTCCTGTAGCTTAATGTAAGGGCACTCGAGAGAGGATCTGGGTTCAACTCCCAGTTAGGGTGAAACATTGGGCAAGTTTCCTTATTCCACAACCCTCTGTTTACCTAGCAGTAAATTGGAACCCAGTTGTTAGTTGATTGGCAGATCACTTTTCTGGAGAGAGTTACTTAAAAAAAATAATCTGGTCATTCAATCCACAATTGTGTGTGGGACTCTGCTGTGAACAATTGGACCTATAGGGAATTAGGCTATTATTAAAATAAGAAATTAAAAGTCAGATTGCAATAGTTCACAGCACAGCAGCATACATAAAAAACTGCTGTTTTGTAAATTTTCCACAGGCAGCTATCAATGGTGGTTATGATATGGCAGATGTTTTGGAAAGTCTCAAAGACATGATAAGGTGTTATATCATGTGCAAGAATTATTATTATTGATTATAATAAAGTGCAGGATTGCATCAAAATTTGTTGAGAATTCTTAACTGTTTGGGAAGCCAGGGTTATTTTTAAGAACCAGGGAAAAACGTTTTCCCAAAATAAACTGAAATTAAGAATTCTTCCGCAAAATATTATATTTTAAGACAAAATGACAAATTTGGGGCCTAAAGCAAGGTCTCTCTGCATACTCATTAACAAATCCAGGGAAAGCAGATCATCTGAACTGACTGGTAGTTTGCTTCATTGTTTAGTTTAAGCTTCAGCACTACAGTTTGGTCTGCTCCAAGGTTTCACAGCGAGTTTCTGCCCTCTGTGACAGATTCTGATAAAGACTTTGATACTAAGGATACCAAAGCATCAACAAAGAACAAGACTCAGTAAAAAACAGGATATTAATGATAATAATCTTTACATGTGAAATAGATCTAGCTATTTGAGTATTCTGGAGTGACTCAAGCAAACTGATCTATTCAACACATTGGAGTTTCTCTGTTTAGGAGCCTTGGACTAACTCACATAAATCTTATTACAGAAGGCAAGTGCTGTGGAGATAATCCTTGCATTTTGTATATCATGTTAGAAGAACGTCTCAAAGTGCTTCACAGGATATACTGTAAAGTGAAGTGATTGTGTATTTTGTGGGTGAAATGCGGCAGCAAGGTGCGAACAGCAATGTCCCACAAACAGCCACTCAGTGAGTGACCAATTTTAATTGGGGGATTGTTGGCCAGGACACCGGGAGGAACTCACTTCTCTTTTTGAATAGTGCCATGGGAACTTTAATGTCCACCAGAAAAGGCAAATGGGACCTCAGTTTTACGTCTCATCCTAAAGACATCAACTCCAACAATACAGCACACCCGCAGCACTACATTCAAATGTCATCTATTTGATTCAAATCCGGACGTGGTCTTAAACCCACAACCTTGTGACTCAGAGACAAGAGTTCGACTATTGAGCCTGGCTGACTCTTTCAGTCCGACCTTGTTCACTGCCTTGGCATTATTCAGAGCGGCAACTTAGTATGTGAACGACCATATCCCTGTATTGTGGCACAGTGTGCAATGTACCATCATACACTAATGCCATCATACTGCCTGTCTCAGACAGCAGACAGTTCAAGAGCATAAGAAATTTCTGATTCTCAAAAACTCTACAAGACAGAGAGCCACTGAATAGAAAATGTGTCAGCTCTAACAGATAGTTACTGACTCAGAAGCCAGAAATGACAAATTTCATCTTTAAATAAGATTTTTTTTAAAAAATGATGCCTAACCTATTGTCTTCTCAAGACAGCATCAAAGTGTTCCTTAAATGAGTCTATTAAATTGTCCTCAAACCGCCTTCCTGGTAACCAGTCGGTAAACACCTTTTATGTAAAAAAAAGCTTCCTCATGTCCTGATTCCAATCATGATTCTTACCCGCCTGACTCAGTGTCTTTGGCATGTCTGCAGATATTGTTCTGGGTTGACTTTCTCAATTCCATTTACCGTTTCAGAGAACTCTGTAAGATTAGCTCCATAGGAGTGACTCTGTTTACCTAACAGCACATAGGAACCTGGTTGTTAGTCGATTGGGGGATTGCTTTCCGTGGGTAATAATTCCTCAAAAAAAAGTGGTCACTTAATCCAGAACTGTTTGTGCGACACTGCTATGTGTGTTTGGCTGCCACATTTTGCCCACAAAATATATAGTCAACTCACTTTACAATATATTGTGTGAAGCCCTTTGAAACATCTCAACGACTATATCAAATGCAAAGATTATTATTAAGATTTTCTCTCTTTCCCCCATGCTATAAGATTTTCAAAGGCCACATCACTCTCTTTTCCCTTACTGAGCATCAGACACTGTCTTTGTACACCATCCTGAGAGGTTACCGTATGAGAAGTTGTTATCTTTGAAACATCTCTTTTGAAAGCTGTAGAAACCTGCTCTCATGTGTACTGACTCTAGAGTTGGGGTAGCCTCCTTATAATGTGGCCATCAATACCATTATTCCAAGTGAGCACTGACCAGAGGTTTGTACAGGTTGACCATGACTACTGAGGGTTTTAAGTTCAGCAACATTGTCCGGGATCCTGTTTGTCACACACAGTTTTCACGTGATGTGCATCGGCTAACACTCCTAGTTCCCTTTCAGTCTCTGCCCCGTTAGCATGTTCTATTACTGTCCATGGAAGAACATTATATAAATGCAAGCTGTTGTTCTGTTGTTTTACTTGCAACCCTTTTACTTCCTTTTATTTTGTTAGTTAAATTTAACTAAAAACAGTTCTTTCTGCATCTTGTATGAACAAAATCCATAACAATCGATACAATCGGATTGACTTGATGCTCAAATGGAAAAAAGTAAGGCACAATTCTAACACAAAGCCATAGAGCTATGCAGAATGTTACAGAACTGCAACAGGCTGTTCGGCCCATCAAAGATGTACCGGTGTTTTGTTTTTTATTTCCACGTGCACCAACTAATCCTAACGTCCTATTCACTTTAATCTTCTTTTACAATCATTCGTCTAATTCCCTTTTGAAATAATTTGTGAGTTCTACTTCAACAAAGATTGCCTCTAAAAATTCTAAATTCCCACCATCCTTTTTGTGAATAAAATGTTTTCTAACGACAATTTAATTCTTTCTGCGATCATCTGAATTTCTTTTATCATTTTATATAAGACTCCCCTTTACTCTTCCCCTCCCTGGCTCACCGACCAGTTGGAGATAATTTAATTACTATTTATGCTTTCGGGGCCCTTCGCAATTAAGGGTCAGCCCTTAATTTTTCTCAGCTCCGATGTAATAATAATAAACATAATCCTTGCATTTGATACAGCTTATTCTTATCACACCATTGAGACATCTCAAAGCACATCACAGGATATACTGTAAAGTCAATTCACTGTGCGCTTTGTGAGCAAAACGTGCTCAGGGCTTTGTTTTAAGAAAAACAACACTCAAAGACATGAAAGTTAAACATTGTATTCTGCCCTGAATGTCTCCTCTGTGGTAAAGCAAGCAAGGGTGATTCAGCGTATGACGTCATACAGTGAAATGTGTTGGCGAACTTGCATATAAATTCAAATGCCATTCCTTGATTGTATTTGTAGCACAGCGCATCTTCTTGCAAAGCACACTCATTTAAGCATTCCTGTGACCCAACCGTACTTTTAAAATTACTTGGCACTAAGAGAGCTTTAAATGTAGCAAATGCTGTTTCCAGAAAGGTCAGATTTATATAATGGTCATTTAATAAAACTGTTCAATATTTTCCTTTTTTAAAAAAAATGCAAAAAATTGCTTTCTTTTTTAAAAAAAGTCTCCTTCCACAGGCTTGTGGTCGCAACACTGAATCTAATAGCGTTGAAGTCTTAATGTTATAAAGGATTTCCTTTTACCTGGCAATGAAGCTGCTTGGATCCAACTGAAAACGCTTTCCAGCACAAATGTTCCAAATGCTGTTATACATTAAACGGAATTAGCATGCAGAAGAAAAAACAGGAGCTTGCTTTCAGAAGAAATGTAGTGAAGTGCTGCAAATAGCACAGCAATGAGAAGAAGCGAAGCAGCAGGATGTATTTCTATTCACGAGAAGGAAATCATGGTTTAGGTGGTCAGATTTAATACAAAATGTGTGCAATCTATTGATGCAGGATATATGCCTCTCCCAGCTGATTCCCAGAGCTGACTTTGCCTGTTCTATTGCTTTCATCTGAAATATGATTTCACAATTGCTCAACTTAATTCCTCACGGCTGGTGAATGCACATGCACATTCAATTGACGAGCAATTCACTTCAAATCCTGCACTGCTTTGCATATGGCAAATGAATGGCATTTCAATTAGTTTCACCCCTTGACTACTGAAGCTAATTTCCAAAGATGAACTTATGTGCTGGTGCAGCAGGAACAGCCTGGTGCTCAGAGTGTTTTGAATGTTAAATAATGTGAAGTTTAATTTCAGGATTATCTGAAAGGCTTGGATAGCAATCCAGAATTGAAGCCAAAAAAAGCGAATGCTTGTTCCATTATTTTTGCAGCGTTCACACTTTATACAGACTGACACAGTGGGTATTGCACCATTCAGTTTATTTATGACACCACATCCCCTCGAAACACATTTTCACTATCCCCAGTGCATCACTGACAGCACTTGTGTCTTTAATAAGGTCACTGAGCCTCACTGTCATCTCTTCCTTTAACAATCGAAAGCCAATCTTGTTGGCATTTCAATTCTGCATTTTCATTTGAAGTTACTCTGTCATTTTTTAGGCCAAAAGTGACCATTTAATGTATCAAGGGCAGCGAACCCAAACTAGGTCAAAGCATGCCTCAAATTTTTAATAAAGTCAAAGTGATACAATATGTACAATACTTGTTTTTGTTTAGATGACACGGATAAACACGGATGCATCGTCTTTTTCCTGTGGCTCTAAACACCTTCTTCGGGTTTGGACAGATTAAAGCGATAAGGCCAGTAAAATTATTGTAGGCAGTCATGTGATTTACCGAAAGCTTTTGTGTGTCTGGCTGACGTAAGCTCTGAGCTCCCTTGATTTAGCACTATCTGTCTGCTATTACAAGATGTTACAGACACTTTTACCACTAGTCTTTCTGACTAGTGCAGCCTGTTGCTGCTTTATTGTTTCCTCAATAATAATCATAATTTTTTTTGCATTTTGACATAGCTCGTTGACACCTCAAAGCACTTCAAAGCAGTGACTTTATTGTTTAATGGCAAATGCAACAGCCAATTTGCACACAGCAATGTCCCACACAGAATTATAAACACTGGAGTCCTGTAGCTCAGTGGTTAGAGCACTCGCTTTGCAAGCGAGACACCTGAGTTCAATTCCCGGCAGGGTGAAACCTTGGGCAAGTTTCCTTACTCCACACGCCTAATAATAATCCCTCCAAAAGAAAACAATAATAAATTGGTCATTTCAATCCACGACTGTTTGTGGGACACTGCTGTGCGCAATTGGCTGCCGCGTTTCGCCCACAAATATACAGTCAATTCACTTTACAGTCTATTCTGTGAAGCGCTTTGAGACATCGAGAAGACGTGAAAAGTACTATATCAAATGCAAGGATTATTATTATTATTATAAAAAGGATGAACGATTTTATCCGGAGAATTATTGAACAAGATCGCAAGATTAGAATACATCAGAATATACAGCAACTGAAACAGGCCATTCGGCCCAACTCCAGTGTTTATGCTCCACATGAGCCTCCTCCTGCCCTTCCTTAACTAAGCCTTCAAGCATAACCTTCTATTCCTTTCTCCCTCATGTACCTATCTTGTTTTGTCTTAAATACATCTATGCTATATGCCTCAACAATTTCTTGTGGTAGTATGTTCCACATTCCACATTAATAACAATCAATGTAGGATATCATCAAGGCTGTAACCTCAAGTTATAACATGAAGAGCTAACATGAAAACTTCTTTCCATGAATCCAGCACGGCAGATAATAGGAATTCAACTTTCTCATTCTCTGGCGAATGTTGGGCTCAGGATATGTCTCGTCTTGGATATTGTCAAAGGGATTTCATTGATCTTATGCTCTCAGTAAAATTCGACCTGGGTCTGGTTTTATTCTATTTATGTAACATTTTCACACATCTAGAATTTGGCCAATTCTCAAACAGAACCTTCACTTTGAAGCTGATATTCTGTAAGTTCCTTTATGAGCATTAAGAAAAGCAAAGTTACTAATGAATTCAATAATTTAGCACATTGCAGACGGTCCGAAGTAAAACTAAATAGAGGTGGAAACTCTTCCCAAATGTTTATCTTAACAACGCCTAGGTCAGGCATTGCATGGGTCAAATACAGAGAAACATTTGTCTACATTAACAAGTCATCTCAAGGACATCAGATAGACTCAATAGTCTGTGATATGTCCTTTTCCTAACTAATTTTGATACACTGTGGAATTGCCTCCCACGAAGAATTCGGCTGAGGGTGATCTTACCTCACACTAGAGTTTAGTAATCTCTAACCATCATAAACTAATCAGCTGAATTCCAAGAAATGACTGAGGCACAAATATATCACTGTATCAATTATAATTTGTGGTCTGGTCAAGAAATTTAATTCCATTTTGAAACAGAATTTGTGGTGTTTGAAATTCACCACATAATAGTTGGCACAGGCACTACCATGTGCAGGAGAGAAAAATTCACGTCAATCTCATGTGTCACCCTGGCTCAGTGGTAGCACTCTCACCTCTGAGTTAGAAGGTTCTGTTTTCAAGCCCCCGTGCCCCAACTTTAAACTCACACAATCTCCAGGTTGACACTCCAGTGCAGTGTTGGAGCGAGCACTACGACTTTTGGAGAGGCCATCCTTCGGCTGAGATGTTAATCTGAGGTCCTGACTGCCTGCTCACGTAAATAGGACTTTTGAAGATCCCATGGCACTATTCAAAGGGAGTTTTACCAACAATGTCACAGATAAAACTGATCATTCACTTCACTTCAAATTAGCTGCTTTGTTCGCCTTGTTTGTAAAAATATAAACTCTACAGTAAGCCCTGTGAATAACTTTGAGGTATTTTACTAACATGAAAGAAGCTACACTCAATCTATATCTGTAGGCAGATAAAAGGTAAACCTCGTCTGACTGAAAGTTTATCTTAATACAAGGAATGGGGGCAGGAAGGGTATGCTGTAATAACCTTTCTTCTTTCAGACTCTTGCCTCCATCACATGAATTACATAACCCCCTCAAAGCTCTTACCTTTTGTAGCTGTTGACTCATTCAAAGACTGCTTTACATTGTCCAAAGACCATAAGCAAGATCTTCCGGTAATTTGATGCAAGTTAAGAAATCCCCAGGCTGGGGTTAACATCAATGTAAACAACGCCACGTCAAAGCGAGCTCGATATTATGGCAGGATAACTGTTTGCAATTCTTTTAAAAATACAAATGCATCTTCAACACAGCCTAGAAATTCGCTATACATGGTCCTCTTGATCCAGGTCCTGGGGTCCATGATCATCTCAGTCAAAGCAGTTGAGCAGTAGGAATTGGTCTCAAAGCTTCTTTAGAGAATGTGTGGTGTGGGGGGGAGGGGGTTGTGGGGGGGAGAAGTAGGTAAAGCAGGGACTCCCTAGGGCTCTATAGAGTCATAGAGATATGCCTGGAAGAGATAGGTTTGTAACAATGTGAAGGTGTGTAGATATATCTTGATCCCTCTGAGTTAAAACTCTAATAGGTAGGGAGATCCTAGCTGGACAAGAAACATTCTGTGCAGTTACCTATTTGTAGTTATATATCAGTACACAGAATATCCCCGGGGAACTAATACACTTGTACAAATACAAAGAGATGCCATTCAGTGTGAGGGGCACAATATAACTACAAGTTGTTGTTGTTGTACTCCTTTTCTTTGAAGTATGTCAAAGTAATTTCAGCAATGCTTACACACCATAGAATTTTTTTATTATATATATCAAATTAGGCCCATCTTTTAGTTTTGGTGTTTGCATCTCCAAGAAGCCAACTATTCCAATCCTACTTCCTTGCTCTTTCCCCATTACTTTCCAATACCTTCCCTCTGCATGAGTTCGTCTTATTCTCTTTTACACTCCCCCAATTGACTCTGCTCTAATATTCACCCCCAGCAAATCATTCCACACCCTGACAACCCTCTGGGAAAATAAGTTCTTCTGAGTCTCTCCTTTTACTCCCCAAGTCACAATCATGAATGTGTGCCCTCTCGCCCTTGATTCCCCTACCAGCTGAAAGTATTTCTTGCGACAAGTTCTTTCCAACCCTTTCCTTATCTTAAACACCTCAATCATATCACCCCTCAACCTTCTCTCCTCCACCAACAGAGGCCCTAACCTCTCTAACCTGTCATAATTGGATCCTTTCATTTCTAGTATTATCCTCATGAACCTATGCTGCCTCCTTGCCATAACTTTAATAGCCTTTCTAGAATGTGGTGCTCTAACCTGTACACAATATTTCAGCAAGGCCTAACCAGTGGGTCGAGATATTGCACCCCATGAAGGGCGCTATATAAACACAAGTTGTTGTTGTTATTATTGGTGCAATAATAATATAATAATAATCCTTGTATTTGATATGGCGCCTTATCACGTCTTCTAGACATCTCAAAGCGCTTCACAGGATATACTGTAAAGCGAATTGACTGTATATATGTATATGCAAGGAAACTTGCCCAAGGTTTTGCCCTGCCAGGAATCAAACCCAGGTCTCTCGCTTGCGCTGAGATCTAACCACTGAACTGCAGGACTCCACTGTCACAATGTAACCATTATATTTTACAGATTCATCATCGCTTTCTTACTTTTATTTTCTGCTACTTAGCACGGTAAGACGGTCGGGTTTCATTTAACCGTGGGCCTACAGGAGATCTGAGTTAAAAGCAAAACTTGCGTTCTAGTGAGGTGCTTAATGGGGGCACC